GACAAGTGCCTGTACTGTGTGTGCCTTGATGTGCTTGTCTGTAAAGTGGGGATGGTGAACATGGTAGATATCTGAGGGTGCAATCCTGAGGGGCCACACTAAGTTGTTAGCTCTTTTCTGAGATGACCAGATGAACTGCTGTAGCTGGGGATTCATGAATCCTGTTAGGATGAGAACACAAAAATCAGCCCTGCTAGGATAAATGTCTTTGTTCATAAAATCTTTTTGTTCAGAAAATATCTGATCAACACTCTACTTTTTTAATATTTATTTTTTAGTTGTACACAATACTTTTATTTTTATTTATTTATTTTTATGTGGTGCTGAGGATCGAACCCAGGGCCTCGAATGTGCTCTACCGCTGAGCCACAACCCCCACCCCACCCCATTTTTGATAATATAAAAGTTACAGTTTTATTTCTTCTGTATCAGTATAAAACATCACAGAAATTTTTTATCAAAATAGGAAATAAGAACAATGATATTACTATAATTATATACTTTAACTGACATTGATTTCTTTCTTTCTTCTTTTATTTTTTATTTTTATTTATTTATTTATTTTTTTGGACTGGGGTGTAAACCCAGGGGCACTTTACAACACGGAGCTACATTCCTAGCCCTTTTCATTTTTTGTATTTTGAGACAGTGTCTCTCTATGTTGCTTAAACTGGCCTCAAACTTGTGATCCTACTGCTTCAGCTTTTCAAGTCTCTGAGATTATAGATGTGTGGCACCATCCCCAGCTACAATGACATTTTAATTGGCACCATCTTTCCTAGATGGACGTTAACCCTGACTTTAGGCCTGAGTTAATGAATTCATATGCTCACATACCTTTCACAATATTTACAAAACTATTTTCTTCCTCTGTTTTATTCCTTCTTGCTTCCTTAGTTAATGCCTAAACACAGAGAGTTCTTTCTGTACCACATCAAGCCATGTGAGCCTCCAAAATATTTTGGTCACACTATGCCTAGGCTAGCTAGGACTCTGTGCCTTTTTAGCCTATCCAGGACATATCTAATAATGGCAGGATTGAAGGTTACCTGCATTTTAAAGGATTCCTCAGACCTCAATCATGCCTTTTCCCATGATGCACAGAGGCCTGTTACAGTGAGATCAGCTTCCCTCACCCCTGTTACTAAGAGAAATGGTTTGGCTCGTCTTAGGCTATCTGAAAGGATAAGGGTGCCTTTAACATGTAGGGGAAAGACAAATTCTCTGGGGACACACAAACCATGCATAGGGGCTGGCATTAGGGCTAGGGTCATTTGTGCCCACAGGCTACACTATGGCATTCAACATGTGTTCCCTTATTAGCAGATCATCATCATTAAACTTTCAGGCCTTTTTAAATCTACCCTTATGCCTGTCAGAAGCCAAGCTCAGTGTAGCTCAAGGAGGCAGACTGTCACATCCTCAGATTAATATTAAATAAGCACTGTATGCATGGTACAGACAGCATTATCTTTTCCTTTCCTTCCTTCTGTAGCAGAACATTGCATTCTAGCCTAGTACCTGCCATTTCTTTTTTTATTTTTATTTTTTAATTTGTTCTTTTTAGTTATACATGACAGTAGAGTATATTTTGACAGATTTATGCAAACATGTAGTACATCTTATTTTAATTAGGACCCCAGTCTTGTTGAGATTCACTGTGGTGTATTCATATATGTACATAGGAAAATTATGTCAGATTCATTCCACTATCTTTCCTTTTCCTATCCCCTGCCCTTCCCTACATTCTCCTTTGTCTATTCACTGAACTTCTATCCTTCCCCTGCTCCCCTTGTTGTGTGTTAGTATACACATATCAGAACATTCAACCTTTGTTTTTTGGGGATTGGCTAATTTTACTTAGCATGATAATCTCCAAATCCATCCATTCACCAGTGAGTGTCTTAAGTCATTCTTCTTTATGGTTTAATAATATTCCATTGTGTGTGTGAGTGTGTGTGTGTGTGTGTGTGTGTGTACAATTTCTTTATCCATTCATCTGTTGATGGCCATCTAGGTCAGTTCCATAGCTTAGTATTGTGGATTGTGCTGTCATTTCTTGAGAGCCTGCAGTGGAATTCCCTGTGCTAATCATTCATACATAGGATACATACACCTGCAAAAGGCAGGCCTTATTCTATATTTACAAATATCAGTTTCCTTGCATGTCATATGTGAAGAGTAGCATTGCATGATAGGGTTCCATGAACACATGATAACTAAGACATAGAAGGAGTATAAAGGCTCTGGAGTCATCCACCCACTAACTAGCTGCACAACCTTCACATGAGTCTCTTTTTCAGTCCATTTCCTCATCTGAAATATATGATAATAGTAATGCCTATCTTATGGGGCTGAAATGAGGATTAAAGGTGTTAATGTGTTTAAAGGGCTTGATACAGGGTGCTTGGCACACAAGCTTTAAGGATAACAGTCGTGATGATTTGTATTTTTATTACAATGATGCAAAGATCAGAAAGTGGGAGAAAATACAGCAACAGAGGCTGAGAAGTAGGAATCAAAAATGACATGGAGGGGGGAACCCTGAGAGAAGGGTGTCATGGAAACCAAAGGAAAAGAAGCCAGAAAGGAAGAAGTAATGCAAAAGGGCACTCAGAAGCCAGTTTCCTCTGACGAATGATTTTCATCCCTTAGTGACCAATGAGAATGGAGCAATAAGGAAGAAAATAAGCTCAGAGCCTGAAATGAAAGATATCAGACATAAAATTTTCTAGAAGCTGCCTTTTGGCTAATCCAATTAGTCTGATCTGTATATCTAGGTACCTGATTAGAGAAAATACATATTTCTTCAGTAAAGGAAAAGCCACTGTCACACAAAATGAAGTAAAAAAGAAATGTCAGTTCACATCAGGTTGGTGAAATAAAATTTTTGATAATTTCAAACGTACACAACAGAGAAGGAGGACGTAGAGGATCCATCACAGAACAGGTTTTCCAAGTAGTAGTCAATACTGATCACTCCAGCTAACCCCAATGAAAAGGAGGTGGTGTTATGAACAGGATTCATTTATTTTTCCATTCTCTTTTCTTATCTACCTGGTGCCAGAAAGAAATGATGGCAGCATAATCTGTTTTTTTTTTGGGGGGGTAAAATATTCAACAAGCATTTATAGAGTGGAATTAAGAAAAGGTGAGTTTGAAATAGAATAATTTTCTAACCTGGGCTAAATATGGGGGTAGATACCCACCAAGAGTACATTTGAGGAGGGGTAGGAAGGAATTAAGGGTTAGAACATATGCAAGCTGGAGGGAAATGTTGGTGGCTCCTGGGGCTCTGGGAGCCTGAGTAGAGCTGCCTTCTTCCTGGGGTTCTGACATGTGTTGCCATTGGCTCAAAAGAGTCCCACCAGGGACTCAAAGGTGCCCTGGAGGAATGCAAGGAGTGGTCCTCTTGAGCCTTTGTGTCTGACCCAGTTCTTTAGGGCCCTGAGGGTTTAGGAGACTGAGGCTTAAAGTAAACATTAAATGCTGGGGGAGGAAGGGCTAGAAGGCACAGAGTACAGGAAGCTGAATCTTCACACTTGTCACCAAAAGGTGAGTGTGGTTCCAGGGGATGGGATGGGGATGGGGAAGATTGTAAGATCAGATTGTGGGGACATGCATAAAGCAGGAGCAAGGAGCCAAGGAAGAGCTGAGGGCGTGTTCTGTAAAGAAACATTCCCAAGTTCAAGGCAGGTTCTGGGTGTGATAACCCAGGGAAGGCTTCACTTCCAGTAACCTGTCTCCCATTCCTACCTCAGGGCCTCAATGTGTGCCCCGTTTGTCCTTACTGAGCATGTCATTGGCTGCTAACATAATTAGAACACTAATCACTTTTCTTGAGACCCCCAAACTGTGCCATACCTAGTACAACACAAACCAGGGTTCTGCACAAAAACCCCGCAGTCTCTTGATTGCTGCCTGTCTCCTTGTCCCTGTCAATCTCCATGTAAGCCCCCCTGGTTAGAATGCCCTCACACCTCCTCCCTGACCCATGCAGCTCTATCCTTCTCCCCTGACACACCAGCCCTTTGGCTGCACACTGTGTCCCTGCTCTGTGGAGCCTGTTTCTTCCATGAAAAATCCCCTCGGGGCCTCAGATGTGAGCCTGCATTTTGCTCTCTACCTTACACAGGATCATCTACACAGGATCATCTTCACCCCCACTACCAAGCCTGTCCAGCTTGCAAAAATGGGAACATAAGGACTCTCAGGTCTGAGATCACACATGTCCTCTTTTATCACCCTTCAATTTGAGGCCAGATGGGACAGCTCCTGAGAGGCAGGTTCCTGGAGAGCTCCCTTTTTAATCTCTCCCATGAATGTCCTCCACTCTGCTAAAATGGTGTGTAGGGCTTAGTGGCTTTCTGATTGCCATGTTCTATTGTGTGCCCTGGTGATTTGATTGCTGCTCATCCCTCTCTACAAAGGGGTGGGAGTGGAGGTGAGCAGGAGTTGGAATGGGGTTAGTTTTGGAGCCCTTGGGCTACCTGTGCTCTACAGCTGTAGCATGAGCTTACAGAATGAGGTTTGAGTGCTGAGCTCCCAAGAGTAGCTGCTCTCTCCTTTCCTTAATCGGGGAGTGGGCACAGGGTGTTCAGGTCACAGAAGAGAGTCCTTGTTATTACCAGAATGTTGTCTGGAGCAGCAACAGCAACTGAAGGAATCCACCCAGGAAGGAATACTGCCCCTCTCCAAAATGAACAGGGATGGAGCCCCTGGAGTCCTCATGTTGGGCTGTAACCTCAGCATCCATTAGAGAAGAAAGCATTGTGATGTTGTCAAATAATACAGGCTATAATTTGGCTCAATGAGGCAGGAGACAGTTCCACTGTGATCAAGAGACCCTTTACCTTTGAGCAATATTTCAGCCCTTCTTCCCTTTTCCTCCTCTGCAAAATAAGGATGATAAAAACACAACCTCAAAATGACTCCCCCACCTTATACTTTTTCACTACATTTTATTTTTTCCCTTTACTTCTTAAAATACCACAGAGATATTAAAGTAGATGCTGATATATTTATTGACATAGAAGCTCACAACATATATTGTTTGGTGAAAAAATACAGCATATAGAACAGCACTTATATTTGGTCACTTTTATCTATACATATATCTATCTGGGTTCATAGGTACAGGAAAATATCCAGAAAGACATTCACCACAAGGGCTGACAATGGTTAAATAAGGGTGGTGAGTTCAAGGGTAACATACTTTACTTTTTGAACTTTTATCATTTAAAGATTTAGCAATGAATCATACAACTTTCACAAAGAGCATAAAGCCATCAAAGAAATGGGCACACACAGAAAATAGACTCTTAGGCAGTGGGAAAAGGAAGCAAGCCTAAAGGTCAGGACATCCCCTTCCACTATACTGGTAATATGAGACCCCTTCTCCGTGACAAAAGAAAGCCGCTTTGTAGATTAACTCATGCAATTAGAACTCCCCCTTTCCTAATTTTCCCATCACCAAACTCTGAATATGGGAAATGGTTCATTTAAGGATGGGGGCTAGCACCTTACTGTGGCTCAGAGGAATCACTGGATTCACCACGGGCCTCTCCTGACCCCTCCTCCTCTGTATGTGTCAACTCCTGCAGGGTGATGATCAGATTCTCAAAAACCTGGGTCTTGTTGCTCTCATTATCACAGGTTTCTTTTGAGTGTCCTTCCTCCCCACAAAAGGAACAGCGAGTTGTGTGTTTTCGCTTCCTGGCTCTGCGCATATCCCTAGGACCATTAATCTTATGTCCAGAACCACTGCTGGTGGAAGGAGCCTCGGTTCCAAAATTACTGGGGGGATCAATGACCAACACTTGGTCCTGAGATCTGGCCCTTCCCCTGAAGGGAGGAGCACCTGGGGATGACAGTGGAGGGTCCCCAGACTCCACTAGGATCACATCCTCATCTGAGTCATCAAGGGTATCATCTATTTCTATCACATTACAGTCGTCACTGCCAATTGCTACAGGCAGGGAGCCCTGAAATGCTCCGGGGCTGTCTGCCCCCTCCACCACTGACTCAGATCTCTTGGGCCGCTTCCGTTTAATAAAAGTGTCATCCCAATCCTCTTCCTCCCTTATCATCCTGATTAACTCCAGGAAATTGGGAAGCTGCTCCTGCTCATTTGCATACATCCTGAGAAGACCCTGAAGCCTGAAGCGCAGATTTCTATTCAGCTCAGCTCCTATGAGGAGCTGGTGCAGGCGAGTCTGGTTGGCATCCTTCTCAGCTAAGATGCCTGCCTGAATAGCATTCTGGAGCTGCACCTCCAAACGGATCACGTAAAGGGAGGCTTTCTCCCCTTGGGCCTGCAAGGTGTTAAAAAAATTACCATGCGCGGTCACACTGCTCTCAGATTCCCCAAACACCAGTTTCATTGCTCGCAAAAAATCTGCCACACTTAGGTTGGGGTTGGCAGCTTGGAGCAAACGCATGACCTCTCGAGCAGGGCCCCTAAGGGTTTTCATCAAGCGCTTCAGCTTTTCCTCCTCAGACATATTCCAGTCTGGCAGGACCCCATTGACTTGGGCCAGCCAGTTTTCAAAGGTTTCTTCCCCCTGTGCTGGCACCGCCCTCCCCGAGAAAAACTTCATATTTCTGTCTGCCATGCTGGCCATCAAAGGCCCAAGACTCCTGCCCAGGGACCTCAGCATGGAATGGGCCCAAGGCGGCAACGGCGCATTCTGCCGACGGCTACCCACACGTGCAATAATACTAGCCATGCCTAACAATGATAGGGTATCTGAATACACGATGCTCAGGCTTTTTAGAAATAAAAGCCTAATCTGCAGATGTTGCGGTGCTCTTCCTTCTTCCGATTTCAGTGGAGGCTGTAAAAAAGGAAAAGGGGGGATTAAACAGAGAGCAGGCTGCAGCTATAGACTCTCCCTACCTCAGTAGCGTGCATTACAGTTTATATCTATCCACTACCCTAAAAACATCCTGCAGGAGACTGGCAATTACAGGTTCTCAGGGCTAGCTGGTGTCCCCTCGCTACCAGGGTGCTTTCTGCAGCCACACAGACCCCCTCCCGCCAAGTTCTTCGAGAGGAACTGCGACTTGCTTCGAATTCCAGGTTTTACAGCATAATGCAGCTGATGCTGGGCTCTCAACAGAGCACAGTGCTTACGGATTTGTGGAAATAAAATAAGATCTAATTAATTTCATGATCTAGCCTCAACCAAAATCATCCCCCCTCTCTCATTTTTTTGATTCTTACAGGGGCTCAGAAAATAATGCTCACCTTTTTTCAGGTTCAAGCTCTGCAACCGGTGCCCTCTGAGAAAGCTCACCTCCGGGTTTGTAGAACCCTGTGCTTAGGGCGTCAAGACTGCGCCACAGCAGAAGGAAGGTAAGGGTCAGAAGCAGCCTCAGCCTCAATCTCATCCCGCCACTCCCTGCCCCCACTCCCCGCACCACACCGCTTCTCCCACCTTCTGAATACAAGCCAAAATGCACCCCTGTAACCCCCCCGGGAGACCACTGACCTACCAGCTGTATCAGTCAACTGCGCAGAATTAAAGTTCAGGTTTTCGTCTTTGATAAGCTGTTATGGAGAAAAAAAAAACAGGAGTTGGACACACCCACCCACGTATTCCTCCCCTGGAAGAGGTGAGGATATGCAAAGAGGGTTTGGAGCGAACACTATTCTTTACCCCTCGTCCTGCGCACGCCACCCCCCACTCCCCTCTCCCTAGTCCAGGCAAATCCTACCCGGTCGGAAGCATCCAGGTTGAGCCCTACCTCCTTCCTCCGCGTGGCCGGGCCTTGGGTGCTCCTTCCCCTGCCTCGAAGTTACCGATTCTCCACACTGGGAGCCGCCCAGTACTGGGGAGGATGTCCCCCACCCCTTTTCGTACGAGGGAATCGTGCCCCCATGTATCTTACCTGCAACCCGCTGCTAACGGTGTGCTCCAGCGTCCACAGCTATGGATTCCGCCTTCTAATCTCCGCAGCCCTGTAAAGGAAAAAGACGAGCGCCTCTTCCGCAGCTAAGCGGCCCAGAGATGCCCGATGGAACTGCCTCGCACGGCCACCCAGCGAGGGGGAGCCGAGACGCGGCAGCGCGATTCCGAGGCAGCTGCGGCTGCTTTTATCCTCTGCGGGCTGAGACAAAAGAGCGTGAGGAGCAAGCCGACGCAGCCAATCAGTGGAGCGCGGGGGCGGGTGCCGGCGCGGAGTCGGCCGGGAGAACCTGTGTTCCAGGGGCAGGTCCGTGGAGCGTCACGTGCAGCCCCGCAGGTCTCAGACACCCGTTTGCGTTTTACCCGTGAGTCGGCTTCTTTCTCCCTCCACTCTTTCTTTCCTCACCCCTGGCTCAATTCCACGTCTTCAGGGCAGGTGTATTATAAACCTGAGGCAGGACCCAAATCAAAACAATAGAGGCTCCTAACCTTTGTGTTAGGGGAATGGGAGGAAGCATTAGTGCTTCCTTTGTGGAAAACAGTTTCCTTCAGACGTTCCCTCTTTTATTGTGAAGGAGGTGGTAGTATGTCCACTTAATGGAAGATTTGGAGCACCATAGCTCCCTAACCAACACTCAAGTATAGGTTCAAAGTGGACTGCATGAGAATCATTTTTTTAAAATATTTTAGTTGTTAATAGATCTTTTTTTAATTTATTTATCGTGGTGCTTGAGAATCGAACCCAGTGCCTCACACATGCCAGACAAGTGTGCTACCACTGAGCCACAGCCACAGACCCGTATGAGAATCATTTTGAGGAGCTTGTTGAGAATGCAGATTTCTGGACCCCAGCTCTAGGGGATTCTGGTTTACTAGAATAGGCGTTTGCAGTATAGTTTTGTATTTTTAACCAACGATGTTAGTTGATTTTGTGGTGTAGAGAGGTTTATGAATAGGTAAATGGGCCTGACTCCTGTGTTACCTATGCATAGCATATTGGCGGTGAACTGCAACTCCAGGGCATGTTCCTGTTCCTGCCTGGGGTACATGATCTTCCTGAAACTATGCAAAATTTGGAACTATGAAGAAGGCTGAGTAATGGCCACCCCAATATATCAAGCCCTAATTCCTAGAATCTGTAAATATTACCTCATGAAGTAAAATGGTCTTTTGCAGATGTGATTTAAGGATGTCGAATTGGGAAGATTAGCCAGGTGGGCCCTAAATCCAATTGTAAGTGTCCTTATAAGAGAGAGGCAGAGGGAAAGTTTATGCACATGAAAGAGGACAAGAAGATGGGAATACAGGGCAGAGACTGCAGCAGAGCAGTGGGGCCACAAGCAGAGGAAAGTGAGTAGCTACCAGAAACTGGAAGAGGCATGAAAAATATCTGGCTTCCAGGGTCTATGAGAAAATGCATTTCTTTTGTTTTAAGGCACACATTTTGAGGTAGTATGTTATGGCAACACATTAGTTTACTTAGGCTGTTCTAAAAAATGCCACAGACTGGTTTTTAAACAATAGAAATTGATTTATCATAGATCCTGGAGGCTAGAAATTACAAGATCAAGATGCTGGCAGATTCTGTCTCTGTTGAAGACCTGTTTCCTGGTTTATAGATGGCACCTTCTTACTGTGTCCTCATGTGGTGGAAGGGACAAGCTAACTGTCCAGCTTCTCTTTTGTTAGTATATTAATCCTAATCATGAGTGCTTTTCCCTTGTGACCAAATCAAAGGTCTCACTACCTAATGTGAGAACGAAAAGTCTGGTTGACAATTTTCAGAATATAGTATTCAGCTTTAATTGGATCAAATTGGATCCATTTTAATTATAGCTCTTCCCTTTGCCTGCCCCAATTTTAAAATTAGCCAATCCCATAGATCATTAGGCCAAGTTCCTCCAATCAGGGTGGTGAAGAGCAGCGCTGCAGTAGGGATAAGAGCAGGTGGATTGCCTGCCCAGGTGTGTTTACTAGCCAACTGCAGTAGCACACCCTTCTGGCAGAAGTAAAGTTTGTCTTGTCCACCCACTTTCCCGCTATTGTTTGATTTCTTATGGCACCTCAGTAATACCATCACCTTGGGGATTGGAATTTCAACATATGAATGGGGGTGGGGTACACAAACATTCAGACCATAGCAGACAGCCACAGAAAACTAATACAAACTGTGTATTTTTCTAAAATTCACAGCTTTGTAGATTTTTAAATGGGTCCTTGGGCCAATAATGATTAAAAATCACTCCCCTTCAACTTTTCTTCATTAATATCTTCCCACTCTCACTGGTACTTGAGGAAGTACATGAAATGAAACTCAGTATGACTAAACCCCTTGATGACAGCTCTCTGCCACTGATAGACAGTACTTCCATTTCTTGGCTTGAGGAAAGGTTGCTAGAGCTCTGGAGGGGACTTCTCTTTTGCTGGATTTGGCATTGCTGGCCCCAGAGAATAAGCTACTTGCTGATGAAGGTTGGTGGAAGTACAGAGAAGAGGCAGGTTGCTCACCTTGCACAGTCAGGGATGAGGCTGACAATGGTTTATGGACTTTCTTCAGACTTTTGATTCTGCTCCCCAGTACTAGGATATCTGATCCTGACTTCTAAACATTTAAATTGACTTCATCACCAAATCCCATAATCTGCAGTGGGACCTAGTGGCATAAAAAAAAAAAATAGACAAAGACTTAATCCCAGTGACTTGGGCTGAAGCGGGAGGATGTTGCATTTAAGGCCAGCCTTAGCAACTTAGTGAGACTCCATCTAAAAAATAAAAAGAACTGGGAATTCCTGGGTTCAATCCTCAGTGGTGGGGGTGGGGATAGAGACAAGGATTAAATCTTAGAACTCTGACAAAAAGTTCAATTATGTAAACCCAGTGCTGGGTTGAATCATCAGAACAAAATCAAGGTCTATTTATGTAGGGCTAAGAGGAATATTTGCTAAACTGCCTCAAGTTGGATAAAGCATATATTATCTCTGGCCTCATGTTGTAGGAAAAGGATTGGGGGTGAAAGGGTATCTAATTTCAAGAATTCCAGCACTGATGGCTCTAAAGAGGCCATATTTTATTTTTCAATTGTAAAAATTAAACCTTTAAATCCTGAAGGTTAAGAGCTAAAGCTTCCAGTTGAAACATTAACTACCTTTGACTGCTTTTCTCTTCTATGTCAGTTTTCCATACCTTACCTCATTTAAGGATCCCAGCAACCCTAGTGAGATAGGCATTGTTATCCCACCAAAGGAACTGAATGTAAAGGGACACTTCACACTAGGAGTTTCACCCATCCAAAGTGAAAGCCTGGATGGGGATGCTTATAGTAGCTCTGCTTATGTTAATTTGACATATCCAAAAAGAGAGTAAAGCCCTGTGCAGTGCCCCACACCTATAATTCCAGTGGCTTAGGAGGCTGAGGCAGGAGGATCTTAGCCCAAAGTCAGCCTCAGCAACTAAGCCAAGCCTTAAGCACTTTAGCAAGACCCTGTCTCAAAATAAAAAAATAATAAAAATATATTTTTAGCTGAACAATTATGAAAATGCTCATATCATAACTTGTGAGATACAGCTAAAGCAGAGCTTAGAAAGAAAGAACATCTATTAGCAATAATGAAAGGCCAAAAGTTAAAGAGTTAAGCCTCCAAACCAAGATGTAAGAAAAAATAAAGCAAAAAAAATTTTTTTTGGTACCAGGAATTGAACCCAGGGACACTTAATCACTGAGCAACATCCCCAGCCTTTTCATTTTTTATTTTGAGACATGGTCTCAGTATATATGTGTAATAAGAATTGTAATGCATTCTGCTGTCATTTTTTAAAAAATCAATTTAAAAAAGAGAAAGGTTCTCCTTTGGCTGTGGGACACCCAAAGGCCCACACTCTTATTGATGGGGTATATATAGGAAAATTTGCCTTCTTTTAAATGTCTTGAATCCATGGGGCTGGGGATGTGGCTCAAGAGGTAGTGTGCTCGCCTGGCATGCGCGCGGCACTGGGTTTGATCCTCAGCACCACATAAAAATAAAATAAAGATGTTGTGTCCACCGAAAACTGAAAAATAAATATTAAAAAATTCTCTCTCTCTCTCTCTCTCTCTCTTTAAAAAAATGTCTTTTTTGAGTCCTAACGAATAAATATTTCATCATCTGCTCATGAAAAAAAAAGAGAGAGAGACAGGGTCTCATTGAGTTGCCCCTAGGGCCTCACTAAGTTGCTGAGGCTGGCTTTGAACTTGTGAGCCTCCTGCCTCAGCCTCCTGAGCCCCTAGGACTACAGGAATGTGTTAGCAAGCCCAAGAATTTTTTAAAAAATGATATAAGAATAAAAATTAATGAAATACAAAAACATTAATGAACTATAAAGCAAGCAAATAATAAGTCAAGAATGCCCCCTCTTGCCACTTCTATTTAACATCATATTGGAGGCTCTAGCCAAGATAATTATGGAAGAAAAAGAAATCAATGGCATTCAGATTGGAAAAGAAGAAGTAAAAACATCTCCCATAAGTAGGTGATATGATTTTTTTATATAGAAAATCTTAGGGATGTCATTAAAAATCTACTTTAACTGGAAAATGAATTAGCAAGAGTGTAAGATACAAGATCAATATACAAAAGTCAGTTGTATTTCTATATATTAGCTATATATGATCAAAATATGAAATTAGGACATTTATTTTTACAACAGCACCAAAACCCAGACATTTATGAACAAATTTAACAAGAGAAGTACAAAGCTCATAAACTGAAAAATCACAAAACAGTGTTGAAAGGAATTGAAGATTTAAATAAATGGAAAGATATTTCATGTTCATGGGTTAAACACTAATTATTGTTGCTAAAAAAAGATCTACAGATGGATGTATAGGTTTAATGTAATTTCTACCATAATCTTAGTGGGCTTCTTTGTAGAAATTGACAATGTGATCCTAAAATTCATATGGAAATGCAGGAGACATAGAATAACCAAAACAATCTTCAAAAGGAAGAACAAAGTTGTAGGACTCATACTTCCCAACATGAAGTCCTACTCCAAAGCTATGGTAATCAAGACTGTGTGGTCCTGGCATAGGGATAGATATACATATCAATGGAAGAGAATTGAGAGTCCACAAAAAAACACATACGTTTATGGTCAATTGCTTTTTTTTTTTTTTTTTTTTTTGCAAATGGACACAATACCTCTAATATGTTTATTTTATTTATCTATT